CCAAGAACATAACTCAAATTATATGGAAAGGGCTGAATCAATTCAATAAAGACTCACCATCTGTAATTCCACAATTGCTTGGATAGCGTAGTGAAATAAAAATTTTTTAAAAATAGATGCTATTAGCAAGCACTTTTTTGGCTTTGGCTTGGTTTTCTGCCTACACATGCGTACACACAAGAACATGTGTCTGCACACGCACACACACACACACACAGTGTCCAAGATGCAGATGTATTCTAAAGCCCTTTCTTGTTTATATTGCTGATCCATACTGACCTAAATACCCACAAAATTACCAAATAATCAGGAGACTTCACAACCTGTATTTTTACCACACTGGTCATGAGTTAACAGAAACGTTTTATCCAGCAATGTTTTGTTTTCTTTGATTGAATCATTTGATAAAATTGTGATTAAACTGTTGCAGTAACATGTGTCCACTCCAAGCATATTCACAGAGCATCCATTGCAAAGTGTCATTTCATGCCCATTACCACCAAGGAGACCACCGCCAAGCATCAGGCACTGTGATGACTGCTCCACCAGAGAGATGCCACAGTGGGGGCAGAAACTGCACAATGTCTGGTGTGACTGTGGCTTGCAACCAGAGCATGCCTGGCCATTTTGACTTGGACAAGGACAGAGTTGAGGACCTGCCCTTTCTCTTCATGCTCATTACGAAGACCTTATTTCAGGCCACCTTTAACTCTCTGCAGAGATGGAGCAATAGCCTTCTGTTCTTTTGTCCATCTTTCCACTTTCCACTCAATTCCATCTACGAAAACACCAAACTAGTAAAAAGTTACAAATATCTTTATCAGAATTCACTGTTGTGTGTTTTCCACATCTGACAAAATCTGAGTGGTGAGGGGAAGGAGAGGAAGAAAGTATTATATTGTTAGAACTGTATGTATGAATTACATTAAATCTATTCTTTTTGTACTAATAACATATTAGCATGAGACTTGATGAGGCTTTATTGTAGCAATTATCATGCATTTGCTGTGACCCTGAGACTCTAATGCATTAGTAAATTTCTTTAAAAATTAATTAATCAATTAAATATGAAGGAAATTGGAATGTGAAAACGAAGTCACTAACTTGAAGACATATCTCACAGTGCTTCCAAAAATAAGAAAAATGTTCTTTCAGAGAAAACCCTAAATAAGTCACTTCTTCCTGCTCTGTTATAAACTAGTGAACGTAAACAGGAAAGCCATGAGGAGTCCGCAAACGGTGGTTCCCTAGAAAGAAAGAGACATTGTTCATGTTGTGGGGAATTCGCAGATCATACAAGACTGCTGTTCATTCTTGTTCCTTCACGTGAACTGGCTGGGAATCTCTCCACTGGACAAAGGAACATATGTTAGGGAGGCAAGAGAGGGTGGCATTTATAGGTGAATATTGACATATAATTTAATTCCAAATCTCACAATTCTTTCACATACAATGAAAAAACATTTTGAGGTTTTGGCAACTCAGAAGACTGGATGATTTCTGAAAAAAAAAAACTAGACTGAATATTATGAATATATGTATATATATTTAAAGTAGAAATTAATGTATACTTGAAGGTAATCTATCTTTCCACAATTATTTCATGGTCATGGATTTTGGATTGATGCTGGTTAATTGGCCAAATATGAATTATACATGTATATATTAAGGAAGTGTATGTGCATGTTAAAGAGTTTTTCCCCTTTATTTCATTGTAAAGAAAATCATTTGATGTGGCACTTCATAAAGCTCTAATACACATCAAAAAGCAATCCACAAACTCTTTGAGTACATCAAGAAAGATAATTTACATGGTTTTTAATCATGATTATGAAACTATAATTATGTTGTTTCATGTTTGTGGTTGAGTATATGTAAGGGAAAGTGAGTCTCCAAATAGAAAAATGTGGGCAATATTACACAGAAACCATATGAGAGCTGTGTGCCTCAGGTGCGAGTGTGTGCACACACACGGAGACCACCAGACCCTTCTTCAACACGTCAACAGCTTTCATATTCAAGAAGAATATCAGATTTTTCAAAATGTCGAAAAAAGTCTTATTTAATCAACTGATTATATAGAAATAGGTTTGAGAAATGCCTTCCTTTAATGTCATCATAAACTTTAGCTGTTGCCTGCAATTTCCAACAGCTCCTTCCTGCCAGGGCTCCTACAGAAAAAGCACAGGGAAAGCTCATCATTGCCCCAGCAGCTCATGTATCATTAGAGACCGCTGGGAGTCAGCCCAGTCATGGATCTGCACAGCTAAATGATTATGCACTTGTGGCCTTTTCCAATCCATTGGAAATAAACCCGATATTTATCTATCTACAATCACCCAGTTTCGGAGTCGAACAAATATGTAAGTTCACACACAGCAGAGTGAATCACATGTGGGCAAACCTCTGCCTCATACCAGGCTCCCCGGGCATCACCGCTGTGGCCAGTGGAGATGACAAAGGGGACTCGGATGCTCTGGTCCCTGGAGGTTTCCTCAGCCCCCAGTTTCTCAGTACATTCTCCCTAGCCACATTTTATTTCCTCCCCTGTGCAGCCAGAGTTGATTACTGGCCCTATTAGACAAATCCATCCTCCCTAGTCCATCACAGAAATCATGTACAAGAGCCTGGGGTTTTGCTGAGAAGCAATTTGGTCACCAGCAAGCCGGCCCCTTTTGTTAGGAAATTCAAAGAATAGCAGCACTGTAACTTTAACGAAGCCACAATTAGAGTGGCTTTCTTCCAGCACCATGTGTAATCTATTTTACCAGGGAAATACAAAGTTACTATCTATGCACACAATTTTAGCATTTCTGGTTTTTATGCCACCTTACTTACAAGAAACTCCCAGCTGTTATAATTTGTCTCATCCATTGCACTCTTGTAGAACCAGCCTTTGTTCGGTTTTTTTTCAGTGCCAGGGACTTGCTGGGTTTCACCTGATGTGATTTGTCCAGGCATTAATAATGCATCTCCAAGATGCAAGATGCATGAATTCCTTTAGTAACAGATCTGCTGGCTGAGGGCTGTATTGTATTGTACAGCTTTACTGCAAAAAAAAAAAAAAAGGCAAAGTAAGTGGACAAAGGGAAGGTCATCGGCCACAGGAGTGAGGCTATCAGCTGTTTCAGAAAATCATTCCAACTGATTTGTAGTGAAGGTAAGGATGTGCTGACAGAGTGAATATTAGACCAACAATTACTTTTAAAAGAGGTGGGGGGAACTTTTACCAAATCTGCACCTTGTCCCCACCTTCCCACAGAGAAAAGTGAGTTGCACTCACAGATGTGAGCTCTGGACGTCCAGGGTTTCTGGCTGACCCAAAGCCTTACCTACTACCTATTCATACTTCTTTTTCTCCCATCAGGCCTAGGGGCACCTTCCAGCTACCTTCACAGTAGCCTTGATGCATTTATTGTCATCGCTACCCATAAGCATTTTTTTCTCCTCTTCCTTTTGTGAAGAATTTGTATTTTCAAGCTGCTTTATAATCATCAATAAGTTATTTCTCACAATTATTCTGAAAAGTAGGGCATGGTCCTTTTCTCAACCTTACAGTTACGGGAAAGGAAGTGCAGAGGGGTTATCATGTGAGTAGTTTACAGAAATACGCATTCCCATGCGGGAGTAAGAACACATCAGGAGGTTACTCTTCCTCTTAAGCCCAAGAGCTGCCACTGGCATGGTAGTGGCAATAAGCGAAAGAAGAATGAGGGACCCAATTAGAAATAACCAGGTTACTTGGTAGACACAATCACAAACCCTGCCAGAAAATCATCCTGCTGAAGTCTGTTGGGTTTTTCAACCCAGAGCTAACATACCACCCAGCTCCAACAGCTCAGATAGTCTTAAGGCGCAATCAATTTACTATGTAACATTGAAATCAAAAAAGTTGAGCCACAGTCGCTTGTGCTGATGATCATTTAACTTCCAGTCTCTGCGAACACTCCTGACAAGATGTGTCAATATCCAACCAAACCACACTCTCAGCACGGTCATTAGAGTGGGTTCACCTGCCTCCTACTCCCATTCTCACTATGGCCACCCCCACACCACCCTCCCCCCCCCAATCTCATTTAATCAATAACATTTGCTTTCAGGGCAGCTCTCCTTTACTGCTGTTCCATCTCTGTCTGGGTTACCATAGCAACGATTCTCAGAGCAGTGTGATACCCAGTTTATACATTTCAGCCCTGTCACATGACCGGCTACCTGCTTCTGCTTTAATCATTGCTGGAGGGAACACTCAAAGTGGCTGCTTCCTGCTTCCTGTTGCAGTCCACCAAACTGCCATCATGTTTTACATTTCCTCCTTCTACCTGGAAAACACGTGTTAATTGTGCTGACTTCCACAGTGGAGCAGAAGGTGGGGAAGGTTGCAGGAGTCAGAGACAGTACCCAAGCTGCTGTGATCAGTCATCGCGGCCATCAGGCCCTACAGCTGATTCTCTCCATAAAGACCCTCTGGGATCTTACTTGTAGGGAGGCTGGGGGAGGGAGGCAAGGAAGATAGGTCCAACCATCCAACCTAAGCCTGAGTTCCCATCTTCAAGGGGATCCATGACCTCTGGACACTTAACTTCACTCACGACACCACTTCCTACGCCCCCTGCAAGGCAAGACCAGCAATGTGAGACCCTCAGGTTAAGCCTCCCCAGCAGCTGCTTGGAGAGTTCTGTTTAAGTCACATTAGAAACCTACTGAAACACAGCTAATGAGGCACACACGTCCTAACACATTTGGAGCTTTCCTGTAAAAACCATGTATAAGCAAATAGAAGGAGTCCTATCTCTGCAGCTCATTTACTGATCCTTGACCTCACCTTATGACGAGTTCATTGCCATTTCTAATCTCAGGGCTTCTGAGCAGGTTTGAGGCTGTTGGATCCATCAGTCATTTCGCGGAAGCTCATGAGGAGCTGGGCAGGAATGCACTTGTCTTGGCCAAGGGATTCTTTGCACAAGTCTCTGGTTACTTTTACTTCCCCCGATGAGGTACGGGGAGCCCACAGTTCCCCCAGGACTGGCAAGAGGCCTTTTATGAGCTCATTTCCACAGGGACAGCAACAGAGCTGGGTCAGGGGTGACAGCCAAGGACTCTCATATGTCCCGTGTGCCCCACAATCTTTATTCTCTGGAACAAAATATGCACATTCCCTCTTCAAAAGCATATGCTTTTTTAGTTTGTATATTTTTAGATTTCTTTTGAATTCATTTAAAAGGTAGAATGACGGGGGCAGGGGAAGAGAAAGAGAGAATCTTCCATTTTCTGGTTCAGTCCCCAAATACCTAGGACTAAGCCAAGGCAAAGCCAGGAACTCCAAGCTCACTTGGAATCTACCACAGGGACAGCAGGGCCCCAGGTACTTGGACCATCATCTACCACCTTCCTAGGTACATTAGCAGAAGCCTGCCTCAGAAGTGAACAGCTTGAACTCAAACCAGAATTCCAACACGGATGCCAGCACTGCAATGAGAAGTTTAAGCCACTGTATTATACCACCGACCCTACTTCCCTGTATCACGATAGTAGCCACTGTTAACAAACAATATTGTGAAGGCAAGAGACAAAGAGGGGTAAGTTTACAAGGACACAAACTTGTTGGGTTGAACTCAGAACTCAAGGTGGCCCCTGCAGTGCCAGGCGTGCAGGGGGACTGGAAGGTATCAGAAAGACGATGGAGAGGTCCCCAGGAAGAGATGGCACACTACAAAGAGAAGAACAGGAGCAGAGTGAGTCTTCAGGACCAGAATTTGCCTCCCTCACACACTTGACTTGCTGAGAATAACTAAGCAGCTTTCCCGGGGCCCAGAACGAGGGCTGGGGCGGGGGCTTCTGTGGCCATCAGAGGCCTGTTTCCTCTTACACTGTAGCTACCTAATGGCATCTATTCTGTTTCTTAGGTACCCACTTCCTGAAATAAGCAGTTTATATTGGAGCTAAAGTGGTTCTCTCAGGGAAGTCCTTAGGGGCCCACTCTGTGGGTTTTATTTCTAAGATACAATTTTAGATTTCTAAATTCTCAAAGATGTCTCTTGGAGGAACGAGTCCATGTTCTCATTTTAAAAGGAAATAGCAGCATGTCTGTCGTACCTGGCATTGAAGTCCCCTGTAAGACTCACTAGCCCTCCCCATCACTTCACCAGACCCAGAAACAGGAGATAAGAGATACCCAACATGAGGAAACTGAAGCACAAAACGATAGAATTTTCTAAGGACATGCACAAATGGAGGCAAAAGAGTGAAGGCTCCCACCCATTCCTTGCAGACCTACGTTAAGAGGGCATGACAAGCCCTAGACACTTAAAAAAAAAAAAAACAGTTGATCTTCTCCATCTTCATAGCTGAAAAATGAATGCTTTGTAAAAAATAGTCCCAGAAATTAAAGCCTAGGCTTGTGATTATTACGGTGATTTGTCAGTGGTAGCGTGTGAGTTTTGGAAGACGACCAGCTGTATTAACAAGAGAATAAGAGTACAGTTCATTTTTTATTTGCCTAATATAGATATCCTTGTCTTGCCAAGGAAAGAGCTAAAAAGAAGTGATGAAGAATCAGAGATGGAGCAGCCAAACTGACTTCGCAGAAAATGATTTAAACCTTTTGCTGCCTGCTAACACAGGAGATTTTTACTTCTGATTTATGTGAAGGACTGTCTGAACTGTCAGAAATAACAATATCTCTGACGAGAAAAGGAAAAAAAAACAGACAATTTATGTGAGTAGCTAAGACCATTTACTTATTGTCTCTACCATCTGACTCAGGGACTAGAAGTTAGGAAATATGTCACAAAAAAAAAAGAAAAAGAAAAAAAAAACAGTGGCCTGGATGTTGACAGGGAAAATGCCGAAAGAGGCCACTGCTCATCATGACAAAACGTGAGACGTACTGCATGGCTCGACAACCTGTTGCCTCCAAACTTCCCTCTTGCAGATGAAGTAGCGAGAATTGAGCTGTCAGCCTCATTCACCAGGCAGAAGCGGCTCCCCAGCTGTCCTGGCATTCTCCAACCAACACTGCTTTTCCTTTCTCCCAGCTATTTTCTTCTCTTCTTTGGCCTTTTATTCAACCCACCCCTGTCACCCTTAGTAACATGCTTCAGACAAAAGGATTAGCCCAGAGTTAAAGAACATGTTGCCTACCTAAGATGCTGAAAAATAGACCAATCTTCTTGGACTAATTTCAGAGGGAAAGAAAGACCAAAGTGCTTGAAATCTTTCAAAGCAAATTTAATGTTGACATTACATGAAGCTATATCAAGAAGTACATGGAGGGGAAAAAAGCAGAATTTTAAAATATCTTTACTTCAGCACAAAATAATTTGAAATTCATATAGTTTTTTCTTCATAAGACACATAATCCAAGAGCTTTAGAAGAACCTTTACAGACTGAAAGTTTTCCTATACTAAAGAAAGTGGATGCTTTAAAGTGAAGAAGTTGAGTATTTTTAAGTTTCAAAGGTCAAAAAAAGCAGCTTTTGTGGCCTCTGTCCACTCCAGCCAGAAGGCAGGTATGTGACATGAGGAGACAAGCAAGGAATAGGAACCGCACCCAGTATCAACACCCCGGCCTGCCTGAAGCAGAACCCTCAGAGCAGACCACACGTTAGGGACCACAGGATGGCATTGGTGGCTGTTCCCCATCCCCGGGCACTGGGGAGGCGAGGAGGCTGAGTGTGGCTTCTTCCATAATCTTCCCCCTTCTCCCAGATACAGGAGGAAGAGAAAGTCTTACGCACTTCTGTTGTGTGCTTTCATGTCAGGCATTTTTGTCACATCAACAATGCCAAGTGACATGTTGGAGGAACTAGGTCCTTGCTTGCACTGGCATAGGGTATCTTGCACTTACTTTTGAAATGCTTTGAGGTTAAAGCTTCAGCCATCATTCCATCTCAGTCTTGATACCACAGAGATGCCCACCACGGCCTTTCTTCCCAGGTCCATGTCATCTCTTTGCCAAAGAAATTATAAATCATTTCTACTATGACAATCTGCGAACACGCACTCTCTTCTGTTTTGCTTTAATAGCCTTCATTTCTTTTATCATCTCTCCTTTTTCACCTTGTTATATTTATTCTTTACATTCCATGCCTCCTCCCTTTTTCTCCGCACATTGCTATACAAGAGAATATACTCATTCTTTATATCAATATATCAGTTGCTTCGATGCACACATCCCCTAAACAAGGGAGGACAACCCCTCCCTTGCTCCTAAGTCATAGCAAATGAAAAGTTGTATTTATAGCTTGACCAAAATGAGTTCAATAAAGAGGATAATAAAACCTTGTCCATTTAAGCCAAGGAAAGGACAAAAATATCCCACCAAGTATGATCATCATATTGGTGGTCCCAGGCAGTGGAAACATCCACAGCAATGAGATGGGAGGATGGAAACATACAAAACTGTCATTATTTGCATACGTTGTGATTATCTATGCAGAAATATAAGATAATCAGCTGGAAAATTGCTGTGACTGATGTGAGAGATAAATAAGATTGCCAGATACAAGATCAATATTAAAAACCACTCGTCTCTTCATTTATCAACTTCTCATTAGAAAGCATAATGAACAAAGGAGCTTGACACAATATCAAAGCGCTAAAATTAAATCAAATGATAAATGTGCAAAAGACTCAACATTATACATATAATTTCCAACAAACAACTCTGCATATTGAAAAAAAAGTCAGAATAAAGTTGGCCAACTAATTTTAAATTGAAATAGGAGAGAAAGGGTTAAAGATATTCGAGGAGAAAAAAATGTGTACAGAAATTTAGAAATAGGACCCAGCACAGTGGCCTAGCAGCTGAAGTCCTCCCCTTAAATGTGCCAGGATCCCAAATGGGCACCAGTTCTAATCCCGGCAGCCCTGCTTCCCATCCAGCTCCCTACTTGTGGCCTGGGAAAGCAGTTGAAGACAGTCCAAAGACTTGGGACCCTGCACCCAAATGGGAGATCTGAAGGAGATTCCTGGCTCCTTGTTCCTGGCTTTGGATCAGCACAGTACTGACCATGCTAGTCACTTGGGGACTGAATCATCAGATGGAAGATCTTCCTCTCTGTCTCTCCTCTCTGTATACCTGACTTTCCAATAAAAATAAATAAATCTTTACCAAAAAAAAAAGAAATTTAGGGATAAAAAAGTGATGTGAACTCGAAATACCAGAAATTAAATATATTTTGTAGTTCTGTAAATGTAAGCAGAATGGTATTTTTAACGGTGTGTGCCTACAGATCAACAGAAAAGAATGAAAAAAAAGAGGAACAAAAAAGCACTCTAGGGCCACAAGAAAAGGGAAAATGCATGTAATGAATGTCATGAGGAAAGTTATATCTGTATTTTGGAAGAAAATTCAGATTCCTGTGTCATTCCATGTTCAAAAACTAATTTCAAGTCCTGCATAGTAGCTTAGCAGTTAAAGTCCTCACCTTGAACGTGCCAGGATACTATATGGGCACCAGTTCTAATCCTGGCGGCCTGGCTTCCAATCTAGCTCCTTGTTTGCAGCCTTGTTTGCAGTGGAGGACAGCCCGAAGCCTTGGGATCCTGCACCCATGCGGGAGACAAGGAAGAGGCTCCTGGCTCCTGGCTTCAGATCAGCACAGCTCCAGGCATTGCGGCCATCTGGGGAGTGAATCAATGGACAGAAGATCTTCTTCTCTGTCTCTCCTCCTCTCTGTATATCTGACTTTTCAATAAAAATAAATGAATCTTAAAAAATTAATCTCACTGCAACTTAGGAGTTAAGCAAATATATATGTGTGTGCTTACAAACGCTTTTTAAGATTTATTTATTTCTATTGGAAACTCAGATATGCAGAGAGGAGAAACAGAAAGAAAGAGCTTCGGTCCAATGGTTCACTCCCCAAGTGGCCCCAATGGCTGGAGCAGAGCCAGTCTGAGGCCACGATCCTCCTCCATGTCTCCCATGCAGGTGCAGGGTCTCAAGGCTTTGGTCCGGACTGCATTGCCAGACCACAGACAAGGAGCTGGATGGGAAGCAGAGCCGCCAAGATTAGAACTGGCGACTATATGAGATCCCAACGCATTCAAGAGAGGACCTTAACCACTACAAACTTTTTAAAACACTTACACTTTAACCGAAAAATTTCATTTCTATCCTAAAGAAACATTTGGACTTGTTATCAGAGATGCATAAAATGAAAATTACTTTGCGTTTATCCATAGAGAATGGTTAACAAAAAGGAGCATAGAGCCACTTATGGAGTACATGTGGTGTAATACTAGAAGAGAATTACATTATATGAACTGACATGGAAAAGATGGGTAAGGCATATCATCAGGTGAAAGCTTAACTCATAAAAGAACATACATAACCTGAAATCATTTACAAACACATATTCATCACATACTCACTTATGCACGCAACAACAACAAAATTGTCACCTAATCCATGATGGGAACTAGGTCAACTAGATGCTGATCTCTCTCTTCTGCGATTTCCTTTGCTGGGCAGGCAGACAGAAAACAAGTAAACCAATAAAATACCAAAGAAACGCAGATGATATACTAATTTTCTATCATAGCTGTAGCAAATTACTGAAATGTAGAAGCTTAAACAACATAAATCCACCGTCTCACAGTTGTTAAATTCAGACATCCAACATGAGCCTCGCTGTACATGGGCTGCATCCATCTCTGGAGACTAGGGAAAAATCTACTTCTTCGCTCATCCAGGCTCCAGCACAATTCAGCTACCAGTCATTGTAGGACCCATATCAAAAGATGGAATAAGGTTGGGGGACAAAGTGCTGATAGGCATTGTGGCATCAGAGAAGCCCTTTGTGAAGAAATGGCACCTGAACCAACTGCCATGGGCAAAGCACTATAGGTGCGCATGTAAATAGAAAAGGGCAAGAAAAGTTACAAAAGTAATTCAAAGTTTGGGGGAAAATATAATTAAAACTAAGCCTATTTTGGTGCAAAAACATTTTTAAATTCATGCATATAAAATATCTCTATAAAATTGGTAGGGGACCTCAGGGATTGGGATGATGGAGCTTCTAGCAGCATGGCAGCTCCTGGGGGTACCTGAGTCAGGTTGGACTCGATGCTCAGAGCCCTA